AGCAGAAAATATTTTTTCTGCTTTAGCTGTCTGAAGGAAATTAACAATAAGAGGAGAAAAGGAAATGCCCTTATTGACCTTCCCTCCAGCCTTTCCTGCTAATTCCCTGACACTGAACCCTAGCCAACACTTTAAAAGGCAGTCTATTACAGAAATGGAACCAGCACTCAGGTTTCCTCTAAGAGGACATGGGAAGGTTATGTATGGAACGATATTAAGTAAAACCCAAGAAAAGCTCTATTCAGGAAAAAACTCACACCTCTTTCAAAAAGAAAAACCCGAAAAATTATTACTAATCCAAAAGTTTAAATTTTTAAAAATTCCTGAGAGAAAAGATGGCATTTCCTAATAGTCACACAATGTGAGTCTTGATAAGTAACATTAACAATGTGCTATAGGGCGCGCCTGGGTGGCTCAGTTGGTTAAGCGTCTGCCTTTGGCTCAGGTCATGATCCCAGGGTCCTGGAATCGAGTCCCTCGATGGGCTCCCTGCTTAGTGGGGAGTCAACTTCTCCCTCTCCCTCTGCCCCTCCCCCTTGCTCCTGCTCTCTCTCACAAAAATAAATAAAAGCTTTAAAAACAACAACAATGTACTACAGGATTTATAACACATCTAAAACTATGACAAAAGTGCACAGAAGAGGGAGGAATTGGAGGTATAAGGTTCTTACATCATATATGAAACCATAAAATACTATTGATGATAGTTAAAGATGTATATTGCAATCCCTAGGGAATAATGTAAAAAAATTTTTTAAGATTTATCTTATAGAGAGGGGCGCCTGGGTGGCTCAGTCATTAAGCATCTGCCTTCAGTTCAGGTCATGATCCCAGGGTCCTGGGATCAAGCCCCATGTCGGGCTCCCTTCTCATTCTCCCACTCCCCCTGCTTGTGTTCCCTCTCTTGCTGTCTTTCTGTCAAATAAATAAATAAAATCTTACACACACAAAAAAGATTTTATTTATTTATTTAAGATTTTATTTATCTGCCAGAGAGAGAGATAGCGAGAGCAGGAACACAAGCAGGGGGAGTGGGAGAGGGAGAAGCAGGCTCCCCGCCGAGCAAGGAGACCGACATGGGGCCCGATCCCAGGACTCTGTGATCATGACCTGAGCCGAAGGCAGATGCTTAACGACTGAGCCACCCAGGTGCCCCAAGATTTATTTTATACAGAGAAAGAGAAAAATAGTGTGCACACATGCGTGCACAAGTGGGAGGGGCAGAGAAAGAGGGTGAGAGAATCCCAAGCAGACTCTGTGCTGAGTGTGAAGCCAGACATGGGGCTTAATCTCACAACCCTGAGACCACGATCTGAGCTGAAACAAAGAGTCGCACACTTAAACAACTGCACCACCCAGGTACCCCCATGTAAAATTTTTTAATGGGGTATAGCCAATAAGCCAATAGTAGAAATAAAATGGAATCATTATAAAAATAATCCAAAAGAAGATAGAAAAATTGACAAAAAGACAAAAGAGATAGGACAAACAGAAAACAAGATAGATTTAAGAACTGTCGAGTATCTGAAATTTTACCCCACTTGCAAGCTAACAAGTTGGACTGACATAATTCCATGGATATTGGTAGAAGACAGGAGACATCTGGGTCACAGAAGGGCAGTTTATCACTCACATCAACAGCAGTATCCAGAATATCAGCATTTTGTACCAATTCCCCAAATTACATTTCCCAAAGAGCAATGCAACTAGGGCCACATGATACTGACAAATGTAACGGGTTGTGTTATTGCAGAAAAACCTGGTATCGGAGGAAGTAAATTTTTTTATGTGGGCAATAAGCACGCCTGTTCCTTACTCTAAAGGGAGATATTATCTATCTTCCAAGGCAGTTTGCTAAATAAACATCCGTGTAAAGATAGAAACAAAGGACAATCAGTACCCTGCTTGCATGACATACAGAAATGCAAGAGACTTAAGAAGAACTGCCCCTCACCCGATGGCAGATTTCAACCAACCATATGAATAATTATTATAAAGGTAAATGATTTAAACACCCAAATTAAAAAGCAGAGACTCAGATTGGACCTCAACTATATAGTATCTACAATAAACCTGTTTTGCTCAGTAATGGAGAGAACGACTAGACAGATAATTAATAATGACACAGAAAATGTGAACAATACTATTAGCCAATTTGACCTGATATTTATAGAACATTTTCATTTTCCCCAACAACAGCAGTACACATTCTTTTTTTTTAAGTAAGCTCTATGCCCATCATGGGGCTTGAACTCATGACCCTGTAATCAAGAGCTGCATGCCCCACTGACTGGGCCAGCCAAGCACCCCAGCAATACACACATTCTTTTTAAGTGTATGTGGAATAGTCACCAAGATAGATCATGTTGTGGGCTACCAAAGAAACCTAACAAATTTAAGGTAATTGAAATCAGATACAGTAAATTATCTGAACACAACAGAAGTATACTTGAACGCAGTAACAGGGGGATAGGTGGACAATTCCCAAATATTTGGAAATTAACACACTTCTAAATAATTCATATATGAAAGAGAAATCAAAAAAGGAAACTGAAAATATTTTGAGCTAAATGAAAATACATTATTGAAATTTGTGAGACATGGTAAGATGCTTACATCAAAAAATAAATGTTTTGTAATCTAAGCTTCTACCTTAAAATACTATGAAAAGATCAAATTAAACTCAAAGCAAGCAGACAGAAGAAAATAACAGAGCAGAAATTGATGAAATTGAAAATAGTAAAATGAGAGAAAAATTAATGAAATGAAAGGCTGGTTCTATAAGAAGTTCAATAAATATATTTCTAATCAGATTGATCATGGAAAAAATAGAGAAGATGCAAATTACCAGTATTAGGAATGAGAGAGAAGGCATCTCTACAGATCGTATAAGCATTAGAAGAAAAAGGAAATATGTATAACTTTATGCCAATAAATTTGATAGCTTAGATGAAATGGAAAAATTCCTTAAAAAAACCCAGAACTCCCAAAAGTCACTCAGTAAGTATAGATAACCTGAATAGTCCTCCATCTGTTTAAGTAATTGAATTAGGAGTTAGGAGTAAAAACATTCTGCCACACAAACAAGCTACAGAGGTAGGTGGACTTAAGGGATGGTAAGTTAACCATTTTTCAATACAGAGAAGTATTCTTATAGGGGAATCCTGGGAGATAAGCCTGGCCTAAAAAATAAACACTGAAAGGCTAAAGTCATCAACTTCTTTTTCACATTGTGCTCCAGGCCACCCCCTGCGTTTTTTTTAAAGGTAGGCTCCACGCCCAGCATGGAGCCCAGTGTGGAGTCCAAACTCACGACCCTGAGACTAAGATCTGAGCTGACATCAAGAGTCAGACAGACGCTCAACTAACTGAGCCATCCAGACACCCCTGCATTTTTTAAGTAAACTACCCCCAACATGGGGCTCGAACTCATTACCCTGAGATCAAGAGTTGCATGTTCTACTGACTGAGGCAGCCACATGCCCCACACCCTCTGCATTTTATGACACTTATTCGTTAGTATTTATATATGCCTATACTATTTTCTCTGTTGGATGTATTTGTAATACAGTGCCCTAAGCAAGTCTGTAGATTCCTTAAGGTGGGTCATACCAAAAAGATTCGCAAACTGGGGGGAAAAGTATAGAAACCTTCCAGATCAGATGGCTTCACAGGTAAAACATACTAAACATTTAAGGAAGGAATTACATCAATCCTATAAAACTCTAGAAAATAAAAGATGAGGGAACACTTCTCAATCCTTTGAAACTACTACACTGATACTAAAACTAGACAAAAACACTACAAGAAAACTACAGACCAATATCTCTAATGAACACATTAAACAAGTAAGTGAATTTAGCAATTTATAAAATTGATAACAAACTATGACTAAAGTGTTTACTTGAGAAATGTAAGGTCAGTTTATTGAAAGCAGTTAATGCAGTTTACCTTATCAGACTTGAATATGATCGTCTCAACAGAAAAAAGGGGTAACAAAACTCAACATAAGCAAATTAGACTTAATCCAGTAAAAACATATGTACAAAAACCTTGTATCTATAGCATACTTATAGTATGTTTTCTGCCTAAGATCCCCCTAATATCAGTAACAAGACAAAGATTATCTCCCACCACTCATACTAGAGTGGTCCCAGCCACTAAAATAAGGCAAGAAAAAAAAAAATAAAAGGCTTAGTCTGGAAAGGAAGAAATAAACTATTTTTATTTGCATTTAAAAAATTTCTTGCATCCTCACTTTTTTTCAGACAAAATGATCACCTATATAAAAGATCCCATGCAATCCACAAAAAATGCTGAGAATAATTGAGTTTAGCAAGGTCACATGATACAGGATCAATTTATAAAACCCCACTGTATTTCTGTATATTAGATATAAACAACTGGAAATCAAATTAGAAGACAGCACCATTTATAATAGCTCAAAAAACATTAAATAGTCAGAAAGGGATAAATCTAACAAAATGTGTTAGAAATTATATGCTAAGAATTGAAAACACTGATGAAATAAAAGGAAAACTAAAACAGGTATCTCATGTTCATCACTGAAGACAAAGATGTCAGTTCTTCCTACAATAAACTACAGAGCCAAGCAAGCTCAACCAAAATCCCAGCAGTCTTTTTTGGTAGAAGTTGACAAGCTGATTTTAAAATCTATATGAAAATAAATACAACCTATATGAAAAAATAAAGGCCCTAGAATATATAAACTAGTTTGAAAAGGAAAAATACAGCTGATTTCAAAGCTTAGTATAAAGCTACAGTAATGCAGACAATGTGGTACTGGTAAAAAGATAGACCTATACAGCAATGGAACAAAGTAAGATTCCAGAAAAAGTGATCCACACAGATGGTCAAGCGATCAAATGATCTGGGAATACTGGTCATCCCTCAGCAAAAACAAAAACCCCCCTCAAAATCTGTATCTCACATCATACATAAAATTAACTCTGAATGTAAAAATCTAAGAATTCTGGAAGAGCTTTGTACAGTGGCAGTATCGTAGCCAATGAGGTTTATCTGAGGCGCGATTATTGCTAATTGAAACTAAGAATTCTAGAAGGCATCAGAAAAAATCTTTGTGATCTTTGGTTTGGCCAAGAATTCTTAGGACACAAAAAGCATGAACCATAAAAGAAAAATGTGATAAAATGAAAACTTGAGGGGTGTCTGGGTGATGCAGCTGGTCAGGCATCCAACTCTTGATTTCAGTTCAGGTCATGTTCTCAGGGTCGTGAAATCTAGCCCCTGGGGCTCTGGGCTCAGCACTGAGTCTGCTTGTCCCTCTCTCCCACCTTCTGCCCCTGTGCCCGCTCAAATGTGCTCACTCTCTCTCTCCCTAATTTAAATAAATAACTTGAAAAAAAAATGAGGAATTTGTGTTATTTAAAAACACTGTAGGGAAGTGAAAAGACAAGCCACGGGCTGGAAGAAAATATTCACAAAACCCCTATCTGATAAGGATTTTTTTTAAATGCAAAACACATAAAGAACTCTCCCAACAACAACAAAAAAGAAATATGACAACCCAATTTTTTTAAAAAGATTTTATTTATTTGAGAGAGAGGGAGAGCACAGAGAGAGAGTGAAAGGGAGTGGCAGATTCCCTGCTGAGCAGAGAGCCTGATGTAGGGCTTGATCCCAGGACCTGAGCCGGAGGCAGACGCTCAACCGACTGAGCCACCCAGGAGCCCTGACAATCCCAATTTTTAAAATGGGCCTGCACATGAACTTTATAGCAGTTAGTGCATAAGTGACAAAAACCGGAAATAATCCGAAAGTCCATTAACTAGTTTACAGATAAACAAACTGTGGTATATCCATACAATATACTACTCAGCGGGGCGCCTGGGTGGCTCAGTTGTTAAGCGTCTGCCTTCAGCTCAGGTCATGATCCCAGGGTCCTGGGATCAAGCCCCGCATCCGGTTCCCTGCTCCAGGGGAAGCCTGCTTCTCCCTCTCACACTCCCCCCTACTTGTGTTTCTCTCTCTGTCAAATAAATAAAATCTTAAGAAAAAAAGAATACTACTCAGCAATTAAAAAAAACAAAATACTGATACAAGGAACATGAATCTCAAAAGCTTTTGTTTTTTTTAGAGAGAGATAGACAGCAGGGGGAAGGGCAGGGGGCAGGGCAAAGGGAGAAAGAGAATCTTAGGTAGACTCTAGGTCCAACACAGGGCTCCATCTCACCACCATCATCATTACCTTAGCCAAAATCAAAAGCTGGATGCTTAACCAACTGACCACCCAGGTGCCCCAAAAGCATAATATATGAAAAAAGTCAGACACAAATAACTACATACCGTAAGATTCCATTTACAGGACATTCTGAAAAAGGCCAAACTCTAGGGTCAGAAATCAGATCAGTGGTTGCCAGGAGCTAGGGTGAGTGAAATGGACTAACTATGAAGGAGCTTGAGGCAAAATTTTGGATCATGGAAATTGAGGCAAAATTTTGGATCATGTTTGACTGTGTTAGTGGCTATATTGAGTCTATACATTTGTCAGATGTCAGCAAAGTACACAGGTGTAAAGTGTGAATTTTAGTATCTGTAAATTATACCTCAATAAGCTTGACTAAAAAAGCCCAAGCAAAACAGATTTCCCAAATTGTAATGTTTTGCTTAATGTCGAACAAGTTTACCTCTTCTCCACATATATTCCTTTTATTAAAAAAAGATTTTATTTGAGAGAGAGAGTGCAAGTAAGAGAGCATGAGAGAGACATCACGAGTAGTGAGCAGCAGGGAGGGGCAGAGACAGACAAGCAGACCCCCTGCTGAGCAGGGAGCCTGATGCGGGGCTCGATCCCAGGACTCCAGGATCATGACATGAGCCAAAGGCAGACGCTTAAGCAACTGAGCCACCCAGGTGCCCCTCCAACATATTCCTAAACAAATCTTTTAAACTATAAATTATCCTCATTTGGAACTAGACAAGTAATACTTCTTGTGCATTCCTAAGGCCTGGAACAGCACTTTGTATGTATTATCTCATTAAATCATTCCAACAACACTATGAAACTGAGGTCGAGAGGTTTGGTTAATTCTAAAGTTGAGATTTAAACCCAGGTATGTGGACTCCCAAGATCTTTCCTTCTATACTTCACTGCCTCCCCAAATCTCCAAAGACAAGGACTAAATTTTATATTCTTTACTGTTTAGCATATAACATTCAATAAAAGCAGACACTGTTGAAATATAAGAAACACCTTCCAAACTCAGTATCTTATCAAGTAGGATCTAAAGAAGGCTGCTTAGTTGGGCAAATACTCCCTTCCCCACTCTTCTTCACACCATCTACCTTCTCTCTGGTTTAGCAACATAGTCCACCAGGAAGAGGCACTCATTTGTTTATTTCCCCCAAGTCTCCTCTGCAATTTCCTAGCCCAGCAAAACATCTCTAACTCAGGATGGCCCTGGGGATGAGGCTAATCTGTTAATACTCCAGAGACCGCAGTTTCTATGGACATGGAATGATGATCCAAGATCATCTTTCTCAGGAATTATTTTCATAACTAGGGAGGTAAAGATTACTGTTTTATGGAATGAAATTAGTCACATCACTTCATTTGTATTCCCCTATATAGTCCAAGATCATTACTTCAGTTGCCAATTTTCTCAACTATGGCATTTAATAATTCTTCACTGGAACAAATGATCCCCTTCCAAAAACAGGTGGCCCTGTTCTGACATTCTTCTCATTTACAATGCTTTAGTTTTTTTTTTTTTTT